TGACACCATCTTCAGAGAACACTGCACTTCACAGTCTTCTCTGTTAAGACCCTTGTTGCCCAGAGCCTCTCCCCCAGTCCCACATTGCAGAGTGATGCTGCATTCTCATCTAACGAGGGAGCTCTACAAGGGCCATGTGCAATTACCGGAGCTCACGACGGCTGCTTTTGCAAGAATACGACTGTTCATAGAGAGGCTCTTCAGAGCAAAGGGGAGAAATCCTCGTGAAGAAGTCGTCTTCCGTCTGACAGAGGGAGAAGGCATTTTCTGGACGGTGGGAGACAGCTTCTCCTTTCTGCTCTCAACATGTAAGGTTAGTACATTCTAGGTTTTTGATTGTGTAAGATAAAATTATCAAGGGCCCACATCATTGTTGAAATCAGCTAAGTCACAAGTTAAATATCTTATAATTTAGATTTCCTAATTTGCTATGTTGTGGGACCGGCACAGTAGCCTAGTGGCTAAAGTTCTCGCCTTGTGTATATCCCATATGGGCGCCGGTTCATTTCCTGTTGGCCCCACTTCCCATCCAGTTCCCTGCTTGTGGCCTAGAAAAGAGGAAGGCCCAAAGCCTTTGGACTCTGCACCTACATGGGAGACCCGGAAGATGCTCCTGGCTTCAGATTGGCTCCACTCTGCTGTTGCAGTCATTTGGGGAGTGAACCAGAGGATGGGAGATCATTCTGTCCCTGCTGTTTGTATCTCTGCCTTTCCAATAAAAACAAATATATCTTTTTTTTTTAAAGATTTATTTTTATTATTTTTTATTGGAAAGGCGGATATACAGAGAGGAGAGACAGAGAGGAAGATCTTCCGTCCGATGATTCACTCCCCAAGTGAGCGCAACGGGTCGATACTATGCCGATCCGAAGCCAGGAGCCTCTTCCGGGTCTCCCACGTGGGTGCAGGGTCCCAAAGCTTTGGGCCATCCTCAACTGCTTTCCCAGGCCACAGGCAGGGAGCTGGAAGGGAAGCGAAGCTGCCGGGATTAGAACTGGCGCCCATATGGAATCCCGGGCGTGCAAGGCGAGGACCTTTAACCACTTGTGCCACCGCGCCGGGCCCAAAAACAAATATATCTTAAAAAAATTCTCACAGTGCTAAAAAAAAAAAAACTTAAGATGAACCAAAATGATGATTCCAGATTGTTCACTAGTTTAAAGACTGTAGACAACTGATCAAATTCATAAACAGTAGAAGCCCGATGCACTGGTTCTGCAAGGAGGGGGCTTGGAAGCCGTCATTTGCTACCAACATCATGAAAACAGAACAAAATCAACAACTCAGCCTTGGTTTGTGAGAGAGGCCAGGACACGGTGCTATCCTGTCCTTCCCTCCCTCCATGATTAGAGAGGCAGACAGCTAAGCTCTGGAGCCCCAATTTAGCCACACAGAGAGGCACCTCTGGGACCAGCCCCAGGCACTGGGCAGCAGGAGGCGGCACGTGGGAGGCTGAGTTAACACGCGTGGGGGAACCAGGCTGAAGGGGCCTCCGGTGTCTGCAGGCTTGCTGTCCCGGGGCTCAGATCCCTTCAGTTAACGTCAGGGAGAGCCCTCTCCTTCTGTAGCAGGGCGAGGGAGCAGGGATCTTTCTCCAACACACCAGAGGACCTGGTTCTTTTTAGCCAAGTCTGTCACAGACCTAGCTGTTCAAGTCCAATGTTCGAGCCTTTCCTCAGAGCCTGGCTGCCACTGGCAAGGGGTGCCCAACCTAGCCCAATCTGCACTTACTACTGAGGGGGTGCAGCAAGCTGAGGGCATTCGAGAAGTTCACGGGGCACACACTTGCTAGAGGATGGGAATCTAGCCACGGAACTACTGAGGGCCCGTCCCCACAAACTTCACCACCATGGTACTAAGTCCTAGTTAGTCCAGTTATCAAAAACTGTAAAAACTCAAATTCAAAATACACAGATGAGGAGACAGAGCAGGCAGCAGACACACAGCAGGGGGTTTTAATGATGACACAGGGAATTTACAACCATGAGGAATGTGCTAGGAATGTAACGGATAAATGGCTCCCGAGCAAAGGCAGCTGACCTAAACAGGAAGATAGAAATCCCAAGAACGAACCGAGGGCAACCCTAGATACCAGAGACATCCCAAGGACAGAAACAAAGAACACCTGTGACGGGCCTCTCAGCAGCCTGGACATGTCCCAGGACTAAAGTGCAAAGATAGCATCGGGGAGCCATTCGTCCACTTTCTGTGGTTTTAACTAAAACACCAAGAGGCAATAATGGTTTTGTTTCAGTTTATGGTTTGCAAGTTATAGTTCAGGACGAGGGAGCATCTGTCACACACGGTCGTGGCTGGTCTGAAGGAATGATCAATGGTGGCGGGAAGCAGAAAGAGAAGAGAAGCAAGGTCAAACAAACTCCAAACGGCAAGCACTCTGACGGGACTCGCCTTCCCTGACACATCTCCCAGCCCACCCACCTCCTAACCACCACAAGAGAAGTCTCCATCGACAAGAGATGTGGGGAGGCAAGTCCTACCCGACTTTGCAAGAAATGTTAGGGGAAGAAAGAGAAAAGCAAGCAAATGTTTTAATCAGTAACAACTGAGAATTCCCCAATGTCAAATACCAGACCAGGAACCCAGAGGACATCAGGATGCATGCAAGAAAACCCCCGAAAGGGGAATACATTTGGCATACTCGTTAAAATGCCACCCAAGATGTTTGCATCCCATCCTTGAGTTCTCAGGTTCAAGTCCTGGCTCCACTTCAATTCCAGCTTCTTGCTAATGAACACAACAGAAGCAGCAGAGAGCCCTGCATAGAAACCCCAGCTGCCGGCTCCGGCTTGGCTGGGCTGCAGTGACCCCAGCTCCCGGCTCAGGCTTGGCTGGGCTCCAGTCACCCCAGCACCTTGCTCCAGCTTGGCTGGGCTCTAGCAGCGGCGCAGTCTGTAGGTAGAACCAGCAGGTGGAAGATTGCTGTCTCTAACTTTCAGCCCCTCAACACACACACATGCACCCAACAAACCTGAACCCACACCTGGGGAGTATATTGTTTTTAAATTTCAGAAAAAAAACAAAAAAAATTCCATCAGGAGGTACCAAACACAGTGGGGACGATTCGTTGCAGACTTCATACAGCGTGGCAGGTTAACTACAGTCTAGAAGAAAGTGGGTAGAGGTACAGCAGAGGGTGAAGGCTCGTAACACCACCAAACAATCAAGGCTTGATGGGATGCGAACGCTGTGTGTGTGCATCAGAGTGTCATGTTGTTCCCATCAGTATGGGTAAGTACTGTGTTGATTAAAACAGGAAAAAGAAACATGACAGAAGTCAGGGTCGCGGGGAGGAGCCATGAGGGAGAAAACCTTCTAAGTAAAAATAAGAAATCATCTACATGAGAATTAGATTTGCACTAGCCTCTGTGGCCATTTGGTGAGCCGTCAGTGGATGACTCATCTCTTTCTCTCTCTCTCTCCCTGTCACTCTGCCTTTCAAGGAAATGAATATTAAAAGCACTGAAGCAGAGGGTCAGGCACATGGCTCTGCTTTCACAAGCCCGCTTCAGTACTGAGTGCCCTCCGTCCACCCTGCATGGCTGCTTCCAGTCCTGGCTGTGCTGCTTCTCATCGGCTTCCTGCTAATGCGCACCCTGGGAGGCAGCTGACCGCGCTCCCATCCTCCCGCCCCTGCCTCCTGCTGGGGAGACCCACACGACCTCCAGTCGCAGCTCTAGTGGGTATGTGGGGAGTAAAATGTGGATGGAAGAACACTCCCTCTTTCATGTACACACATATGTATGTATGTACACAGTGTCGCAGGCACAACAAAATCTCCTGGGAAATGGAACTGAAACGTTAATTTTGGTGCAGTTTTGGAACCCATGCATAATTTTTTCACAATCAACATTTTCCACAAACTGTTCGAAGAGTGATTGTATGCATGGAGTTCACATGTTGTTGAAGTGAAGCTGACGCGAATTAGCCACCTGTTCTGAGCCGGATAACGGGCTAGGCACAGGATACAGCCGCACAGGCGTGCCACCCTTTAGCTTTGTAGGATTGAGATAAGGAAACAAACCAGGCAACGGCAGGTTTCTGGTACAGGTGCGCGTGGAACAGAAAGCGTGTGGCACCATGGAAGCAGCTTTACGCCTTTGGATGAGTTTCGATAGTTCAAATTCACAGCCGCAAACTGCCAGGGAGCGAACCATACCACATACCGGCTACCTAGCCCTCCGTGCTGCAAGGTAACACAAAAGCATCTTCTCTTCATAGTCCAAGGATCTGATGATGCCAGTCTCAAAGTTGCGCCTGCCCCGTTCTGACACAATGAAAGGCATGGAGAAAAAGGCGACTTGATACAGGCCACGGCACCTTGAGTTTCTCCCATGTGTCCAGCACCTCACAGACACCATTAGACACCCTGCTAGCCCCAGAAAGATCCTCAGAGTAACGGCCCCGTTTGCACCCCAGAAGGGACACGGTCGTGTCAAGGAGCCGCTCTGTGGCGTCCCAAGCCCTCAGCCCCGGCGGCAGGAAGGGGCGGGCGCGCGCCTCGCGCCGCGGGAAGCAGCTCGGCGGCTCCGGGCGCAGGTGCGCGCGCACCTGCGGGTGCTGGGGCGGCGCGCTCGCGGGCGCGCGCACGCCGGGCGCCGCCGCCGCCGCCGCCCCGAGCGTGCGCCGTGCGTGGGCCCTGCGCGGAGGCGGCCGGCTCGGCGCCGAGGGGGCATCTTCCCGGGCGGCCGCGGCTCCCCCTGGCGGCGGCGGCCGGGCGGGCGGCACGGCCGGCGCGCAGTCAGGCGTTCTCCGCGGGCAGCCGGCGGCGGGGCCCTGCCTGCCGGCGCGGGGTCCTCGGCGGCCGGGGTGGCTCCAGCCCCTTGGTGCTGTCGTCGGCGAGGGCGGCCTTGAGGGCGGCCGCTGCGGGGGCGCGGCGGGCGCGGCGGCGGCGGGGCGGCCCGAGGCGGGCGCGGCGGCCGGGGAGCCGAGGCCGGCGGGGCGGAGGGGCGGCGGGGCGTCCGGGCGGGCGGTGACGGCGGCGGCGGCGGCGGAGGCGGCGAGGGGGGGAAGATGGCGGACGTGCTCAGCGTCTTGCGACAGTACAACATCCAGAAGAAGGAGATCGTGGTCAAGGGGGACGAAGTCATCTTCGGGGAGTTCTCCTGGCCCAAGAACGTCAAGACCAACTATGTGGTGTGGGGGTGAGTCGGGGCGGCGCGCGAGGGGGGCGCTCCCAGGTGACCCCTGTCCTGACTTGTCGCTCGCCCCCTCCCCTCCGGTGTTTGTTGATTTAATTTTCTCCCCCTGCCGCCCCTTCGGCTGCTCGTGTGTTGGAGGACCGGGAGACCCCGGTGCTCTGGGGGCAGGAAAAGTTTTCTTTGCGGAGTCCAAGTTGCACTTGGAGTGAGTCGGTGACGGCCCCGGGGTCCGGCCGGGCCGCGAGCACCTGCGCGGGGGTGCACAAAGGGGCGCCGGCTCGGGGCAGGTGCCGCGGTACCAGGAGGGCGTGCCGAGTGCGCCCTCGGGGACACCGCGGGGTAGGCAGGAGTTTGTGCCCAGGTGGGTGGGGTGCAGCGAGCGCCTCACGGCAGAGAGGTCCTTTTCAGTGTGTGTGTGCGCGCGCGCGCGTGTGCGGTGCAGGTGCGTGGGGGAAGGTGCGTTTGAAGGGAAGCGTCTTGGAGTGTAGATCCACGTGGGGCTCCGTTGAGTTGCGGTCCTTGGGGAAGAGCTCCGGAGGAAGGTTTAATATCATTGTAGGGCGTTCTTAGTGCTGTCCCTCCCTGCGGCCAATGTCCCCCCCGTTTGTAAGAGTAGAACCCTGGGTCAGAACTTTGCTACCCGTTCTTGTTGGCTTGGATATAGTGAGCTTTAGGAAGAGTCGATGGGAGAGTAGTGCAGATTTAGTTGATTGGCTTTTTCGTTTCGGGTTTTGTAAACGTGTGTGTGTGTGGCCGTGTGATTTAATGATTGGCTTTATGAAATGTTGCTTAGATGACATCATTCTGCGTTTTCTGTGTGGGTCCCTCTCGGGTTCACATACGGACTGGGCTCTGGGGGATGCATCGTTCCCTGGTTACAGCACGGTCAAGGAGTACTGATGGGGAAACGGCCTCATCTGCGGGAAGTTTCAGAGGCTCTGATGTCTCCCCCACCCCCAAGCGCCTAGACCTAGGTGAATGGAAGGGATGAGTAGGTACCCTGCTGTGAAATGCCCAGAGCCCTCACTTCTGGCGCGCGGTTCCTAAGTGTTCACAGCCCGGTGTTGACTGTGTTCCCATCCTGCTGGTGCCTAGCATGGGGATGGCGCATTGCCTCTTGCAGGACAAGGGAAGTGTGTGCTTAAAGGCTTGGTGCTTGGGAAGGAGGTGTTTCCCCAGCCGGTGAAAAAGCAATGCTTAAAACTATTTCTACAGTAAATCACACTAAGAAAGGCAGATATACAGAGAGAAGGAGAGGTAGAGAGGAAAGATCTTCCTTCTGCTGGTTCACTCCTCAAGTGGCTGCAGTGGCCAGAGCTGAGCTGATTCGAAGCCAGGAGCCAGGAGTTTCTTCTAGGTCTCCCACACAGGTGCAGGGTCCCAAGGCTTTAGGCCGTCCTCCGCTGATTTCCCAGGCCACAAGCAGGGAGCTGGATGGGAAGTAGAGCAGCTAGGACACAAACCAGCACCCTTAATGAATCCCTGCAGTTGCAAGGCAAGGATTTAGCCACTAGGATACCTTACTGGACCCAAAAATTATTATTGTTTTCTATGTGTTTGCATACATGTGTGATTACACACAATTATGTAAAACATCATGTGATCTTTATTGCATGCAGTACATTCTTTTAGTTTTTTTGATATCCTACCAAAAGCTTGTGTTGGTTTTATTGGTGATATTTTGTGGTTTGAAATTGTTTACAAGGATAAGTGGGGCTGCTGGAGGAGGCTTGCAAAGACGGTGAGTGATGGTGCGCTAGGCTGAGAGCAGGTTGGCCTTGCTGTGGTTTCAGGGGGGAAGCGGGGTTGGGATAGCGAGCAGCCCTTGGTTACATTGTTGTGTCTCAGGTGAACTTACCTTTAGGTTTTGAGTCCCTGGTCTGAGTTCAGGGATGTTCTAGGAATTGCAGCTGTAACATTGTTAACCAGGCTGCTGGGCAACAGTTTAGTTAGCCGGAACCCTGGCACAAGTTTAAGTTCTCCACCAGTGATGGTGGTTGCGCTTCTCCTTAAGATATTTTGTTTCTTTTTGTTATGGATCCTCTCCAGTCTACAACTGGTCAGGTTTCTCTGTTGATAGAGACCGGGGACTATTTTGTATCTAAATATGAAAAGAGCATATGTGTATCTCAACTACAGGTCGAACTTGAGTGTTCTTCTGCGACTTTTTGACTTGTGTCATCCCCCCTGTGTGTGTGTGTTTTGCTGTAACGGCTTTTGGCTTATTAGATTTTTTTATACTTCACCTGCATTTATATTTCTGTTACCTGTGTTAAGTACTTTGCTAAATACATTGCTGAATACATCTAATTAAACGTGGAGAATTGCGTTCGAATTGTGATGGAACTCTTGCCTTGCTTGCAGGACTGGAAAGGAAGGCCAGCCGAGGGAGTACTACACGCTCGACTCCATCCTGTTCCTGCTCAACAATGTGCACCTCTCGCACCCCGTCTATGTCCGCCGTGCGGCTGTAAGTACCGGCACTGCGAAGCCGTTTTCTGTTTGCTTCTTTTATGCCAGATCTTATTTGGCATGGATAACTTCTTTCACAGTTTTCCTATTTTTAAAAAACAAAAGGTATGAAAGTCTGTATGGTCAAGATGTGTCTACTGCGTGACTTGCCCCAAGTTGGTTTTTTTTTTTTTTTTTGCCCCATGCGAAATGTAGGGAATGTTTATAACAGTGAAGGTTTTAAAGGAGTTTGCAGGGATGTTATAAAAAATTAATAAGCCTGTGGAAAGGCCTTGATACTGTGGGATTCTAGTTTAATCTCCAGGAACTTTTCGTTTTGGTCAGAATACACTAATAGCTGTTTTTTAAAATTTATTTATTTATTTATTTACATTGGAAAGAGATCTACAGAAAGAGAAAGATTTTCATCTGCTGGTTCACTCCCCAAGCAGCTGCAATGGCCAGAGCTGAGCCTATCTGAAGCCAGGAGCCAGGAACCTCTTTCCGGTCTCCCACGCAGGTTCAGGATCCCCCAAGGTTTTGGGTTGTGCTCAACTGCTTTCCCAGGCTACAAGCTGGGAGCTGGATGGGAACTGGGACCCTGGGATTAGAACTGGCGCCCCTATGGGATCCTGGTGCGTGCAAGGCGAGGACTTTAGCCTGATTTTCAATAATTTTAATCCAGTTATTTTCATGCTCTATTGATAAATTGTTTTCCCTTTTGGGAGCTTTCTCTGGATAACCCTTTGTTGACCCGGGATCTGTAGGAACGATTGGCAAGGAGCTGTTTCACGGTCTGATGACGAGGTGCTTTGTCATAGCAATGCTTCAGAAAGTTTGTGGAAAAGGGATTGAAAAATTTATTTCGGTGTGAAAAATTTTTAAACTCATAAAAATTGAGAAAGTGTCCCATCACCCAGTGGGCTTAAGTGCTAAATGTGAGACTTGTTTTCTGTCTCTTGAAAATTGATTGGTTTGAAAGGAAGAGCTGGACAGTGAAGCAGAGACAGGAAGAGCTTCCGTCTGCCCGTCTCTCCCAGCAAGGCCTCAGTGGCCGGGCAGGCCGGGTGCTTCGTCTGCGTCTGGGGCCCGTGCCTCCCGTGGCAAGTGGGGCAGCCGGGGCTCAACCCGGCAATGGCTTGCCCGCTGTGCCACAGTGCTGGCCGCAAGGCTTGCTCTTCTCTGAGCAAGAAATTTATGCTTTTAAAATAGTTACTTTGAGAAAATGGAATTAAGATAAAACTCCTTGGCAAATAGAAAAAAAATTGATAGAATTCTTTGGAGTTATTTTGAATTGTACTGGATTTTAAGAGCACGGAGTGCTTAGACTTTTTTATTGGGGGTATGTATATTTTTTGGCGTAACAGAAGTTTTTAAGCACTTGGTTCCATTTCCAGGGGGTTTTCTTGAGTGGCTGTAGTGTGTGGCGCATGATGTAGTTGTCACTGTGAACCTTGGGGCTGTTGGCCATACAAAATTTAGTTTTTTTCTTTTCTTTTAAAAATCTGTTTATTGGGGCCAACACCTTGGTGTAGTAGGCTAAGTCTCTGCTTGTGTTGCTGGCATCCCATGTGGGCAGCAGTTCAAGTTCTTGCTGCTCTTATTTGATCTTCCTCCTTGCTAAATGGCCTGGGAAAGTAGTGGGGCCCTGCACCCACGTAGGAGACCTGAAGAAGCTCCTGGCTTTGGTAGGCCCAGCTCCTGCCGTTGCAGCCGTTTGGAGAGTGAGCCAGTAGATGGAAGGACTTCCTCTCTGTGTTTCTGTAACTCTGCCTCACAAATAAAAATAAATCCTTAAGGAAAAAAATCCAAGTATTTATTTGAAATGCAGAATGACAGACACACAAAGTTCTTTTATCCAACTAAATCTCTTATTCACTTGCTAAGTGACAACAAGGTCTGGAGATGGAGGCTGGGTGCATGGGACTCCTTTGGGGTCTTCTGCGTGGGTGGGAGGGACCCAGGCACCTGCTGGCTGCTTCCGTGTCCTAGCAGGGAGCTTGACTGGACACGGAGCAGCTGCGACCCAGACCCGCCCAGATGGGATGCAGGGTCTCAGGCAAGCACGACGCCCGCCCTGAGTCTTATTCATGTTGGCCAGGTTCAAAGAGAAAACTTAGAAACCTCTGGAATTCTATCCACTTTGTTTGTTACCTTCTTTGTGTTCCTGGTAAACTTCTTGGTCACCAACAGGTGTTGAAATTCTGTTTCTGAACTAACATCTGTTTGAGTAAACTCACGGATTATCTGTTGGCAGTGATGTAAATTCATCAGGGACCAACTGTTGGCTGTGGCAGTACTGTCAATAAATTAGTTGCAGTTTTGGCTGTTCACAGTATCTGTGTAGTCTGATTTTGGGCTCTGAAACTTTTTTCATAAGGAGAAATAGTAATGTAGCTAGACCTTTAAACAATTTCATTTCAGTTTTGAGTGGTAAGCAGCCCATCGCTGGGATGCACAGCGTTTTGTTAGGGAAGTGGAGGTACCCTGGGCACGCCGAGAGTAAGTTCTTCCCATTGACTTCAGTTTCTCATGTAAGGCAATAAGAGTGTAAACCGTGTAGTTCCTCAGGCTCTGGAGCGGTGGCTTTGCATTCCATTTGTTGTTTACATTAGAAAAATTATGTGGAAGACAGTAGAAAGGCCAGGATTCATCTCAGTGTATGCCCAAACGTGACTTGGTGCCTGCTGTATGCATTTTGGTGTGCAGGGTGGTGGAGCAGGAGAAGCAGGGAAAGAATGGGCAGAGTGCGGAAGATCTTTGCCCTGTCGGTTCGCTCCAAATGCCCACAGCAACCGGAGGTGGGCCAGGAGTTTCATTTGAGTCACCTGTGTGACTGGATGAACACAGTCGAGCTTTGGATTGGAAGCACATAGTGTTAATGTAGGTAATTAGAGGAAATTTATCCCTCATATTACCATGGATAGATTTTTTTCATATTTAATTATTATTTTTTGTAACAAAAAACAGTAGATGGACTGTTGACTGCTGACCCGATCTGAAGCCAGGAGCCAGGAACGTTCTCCAGGGCTCCCACTAAAGTGCAGCGTCCTAAGGCTTTGGGCCCTCCGCTGCTGCTCTCCTAGGCCGCAGGCAGGAAGCAGCCGACATCTATATAGGATCCTGGCATATGCAAGGCAAGGATTTTAGCCTAGGCTATCGTGCTGGACCCCATAGTTAATTTTTTAATATTTCCCTTCTGCTTATAGAGCTTAAATCATTCACACATAAAAAGAACTCTGTATGATATAGAAGGTAAACAGCTGTTACAAACATATTCTTGTGTTAAATGTATACAGAGAGAAGTAGAGACAGAGAGGAAGGTCTTCCATCCACTGATTCACTCCCCAAATGCCTGCAACAGCTGTAGCTGAGCCGATCTGAAGCAGAGCCAGGAGCTTTTTCTGGGTCTCCCGTGTGGGTGCAGGGTCTCAAGGCTTTGGGCCATCCTCAACTGCTTTCTCAGGCCACAAGCAGGGAGCTGGATGGGAAATGGTGTCACTGGGATTAGAACCTGTGCCCACATGGGTTCCCGGCATGTGCAAGGTGAGGACTTTAGCTGCTAGACTTCCGTGCCTTGCCCACATTGGTTGTTTTGTTGTGTATTTTCTGGAGTTTCAAAAATGAAATTATGAAAACTGAAAATGGTTACAACATTTTCCAGGGGTGGCAGATGTTTGGTTCAGTGTGTAAGTCTTTGCTCAGGACAGCCATGTTCCAGAGCCGTGTGCAGGCTGCAGTCCTGGCTGCCCTGCTCTGGCCAGGGTCCTGCGTGGCCTTTGGAGGTGACATGTGCCACTGCAGTCCGTGGGTGCTCGCTGCCCGCTGGAGACCAGGTGGAGCCCAGGGTCCTGGCTCCGGCTGGCTGCAGTCCTAGTGCTTCAGGCATTGGAGAGTAAACTGTGCGAAAGAAGAGCATTTTCTGCTTTTCTAATTAAAAAGCAAATAAATGCTTATATGAAAAAGTAAAGATTGTTTCTAATTGAAGTTCTTACTAGCTTCCTTAAATCTGGTCATGTTTTACACATTCATTTTTACTAATGTGTTGTCAAAGTGTGTTGAATTTTCAGATATTACATGATGTTAAGTTATGTATTGTTCTTTATCTAATGCCTAATTTAAAATTTTGGTTCAGACAGAAAATATTCCTGTGGTTAGAAGACCTGACCGGAAAGACCTGCTTGGCTATCTCAATGGGGAAGCATGTGAGTACTTGGTGAAGTTGTTCTTCATGGATGCTGTCCACCTGTCCCTCCCCTCCCCCCCGGACCTCTGAATGAGAAGTAACAGGCTGAGCATCTGTGTACCCACTGAATCGTCAGTTGCCTACAGCTGTGCCTGGGTGTCGCTCTGTCTTTACAGTCCGTGTCCTGTCCCGGCTCCTGAGGCTGTGCCCCTTCCTAGTTGGGAATCCCATTTCCCTCGGATTTTGCTTCTGTCAGGTGTTTTCTTTCTCTTCTTTTTTTTTTTTTTTTAAGATTTATTTGATTTTTATTGCAAAGTCTGATATACGGAGAGGAAGAGAAGGAAGCTCTTCCGTCCCATGATTCACTCCCCAAGTTGCTGCAAAGGCCGGTGCTGCACCGATCCAGAACTACGAGCCAGGAACTTCCTCCAGGTCTCCCACACGGGTGCAGGGTCCCAAGGCTTTGGGCCGTTCTCAGCTGCTTTCCCAGGCCACAAGCAGGGAGCTGGATGGGAAGAGGGGTCACCGGGATTAGAAATGGTGCCCATATGGGATCCCAGCACGTGCAAGGCGAGGACTTTAACCTCTAGGCTACTGCACCAGGCCCGTAGGTTGTTTTTCTTTCAGTCCATCAGTTTTTACCCTTTCAGAAGACGTTTAGTGAGATAGCTCCTTCTTTCAAAATAAAATTTTGGGTTCACATTTCTGTTCTCCACCGCCCCAGTTGTCTTCTCGTTGTATCCTTGCGTGTTTTTGAGGTCATCGTGTGGCTGTAATGCCTGTCTTCCACTGCAGGGTATCCTCAGGTGCACACAGCCCCAGGGCTCGCTCTCCCCTGGCTCCGACTGTACACTCCCTCCTGTGCTGGCCTGTTCTTTACCTCTGCGCCTCACAGGGAATTCCTGACATTTTCTAGGAATCCTTTTTTTTTAAATTTATATTTTAACTCTAATTTCTAGGTAATGTTTTCCAGTTTCTCACTTTAAATAATCTGAGGATTTCCACATTGACTTTGTGTGCTCAGAGTGATAAATTGACTGCCAGCGCTTTCCCCCTTGTTTAACAGACTTCTGAAATTTAATGTTGGCAATAGAATGCCTAGGTCATCTTCCTCTTTCCTCCCAACACAAAACAAAGATGATTTTGTACTTTCCCAGCATTTCTGCCTCAGTAATGTAGAATGACATGTTTTTAATACAGTTGGTAACAACAAAAACTATGGCAAAAGATTCAAATTCTTGTATCTCAGATCTCTCATGTTGTAACCATTTATTAGCAAGTCTTATCTTTCACTCTGTCTCTGGACGCTTCTTCTACCCCCTCCCTCCTTCTTTCTGTGGAAAGATTTGTGAGAGTTAGAGATTGAGCTTTTCCAAAGTGTGTGTGTGTGTGTGTGTGTGTGTGTGAAAGAGAGAGTGAGAGAGAGAGATTGAGCTCTTCATTCCACTGGCTCACTCTTCAGGTGGCTGTGATGACCACTGCAGTGCCATACTAGAGCCAGACTAAAAACAGGCCAGGAGCTCCTTCCAGCTGTTCAGTGACGATGTGGGAGCCCAGGTACCTGAGCTGTCTGCTGCTCTGTCTCAGCCCGTTAGCAGGGAGCTTGATTGGAAGTGGAACTGCCAGGACATGAACAGGTGCCCATGTTGGATTACAGTTGATAGATTTGTCTGCTGTCCACAGCACCAGCCCCTGTTTTCTCTGTCTGTCACATTGTGACAAAGGGCTGGTGCTGATGTGGTTGAAGCTGTGCCTAACCATATTCCTCCCCCCCCCCCTTTTTTTTTAATACGAATTGGTTTATCTGAAAGGCTGAGTTAGGGAGACCAAGAGATCTTCCCTTCTCTGTTCACTCTTCAAGTGGCTGCAGGAGCCAGGCTGTTCCCAGTAGACGTCAGGAGCCAGGAGATTCATCTTAGTCTCTCACATGTTTGCAGACACTCAAGTAGTTGGGCCAAATCCCACTGTTTTCCAGGGCCATTTATAGGAGCCTGAGTCGGAAGTGGTAGCTGTTTAGTTGCCCAATGGTATGAGGCCTTTATAGGTTATGAATTAACCCATGGTGACATACACCTGTCCCAAGAACATATATTTAGATAGGAAGATGTAATATTTGAATATATTAATTCTTGGGGCTCAGCACAGTAGCCTAGTGGCTAAAGTCCTCGCCTTGCGTGTGCTGGGATCCTATATGGACACCGGTTCTAATCCTACCAGCCCTGCTTCCCATCCTGCTCCCTGCTTGTGGCCTGGGAAAGCAATTGAGGTCGGCCCAAAACCTTGGGACCCTGCACCTACATGGGAGACCCAGAAGAGGCTCCCAATTTCGGATCGGCTTAGCTCTGGCCTTTGTGGCCACTTGGAGAGTGAATCAGTGGATGGAATATCTTCTCTCTCCTTCTCTTTGTATTTCAGACTTTGCAATTAAAAAATAAAATAATACATCTTTTGGAAAATTACATTTGTGATTTAATTTATACCTTTACCATGATTTTAATAAAAATCCACATGTCCTGTGTTGAGTAAGAGGTAGATTAGACATGTTATAAAATTTACTTGATAAAACCAATTCTCCTTAAACATTTGTAGAACAGAGATAAGATTACTTGCTCTGGAGTTCAGAATTTTAAATAATAAAACCTTAGTAATTTTAAAATTAGAATGAACATAGCAATAAAACAACTTTTTAATGTGTGATATAGAAATACGAGTGTGAATTTAGCATGAGTGTAGACACATGTCAAATCAATGGGAGGGAAAATGAGGTTATTCAGTTGATATATCGATTCGAAGTAAGAAAGTTCTGTATTAACTAATTCACTGATTAATTTACTTTTTAAAGCCAGGAGCCTAGAATGACACCTGGAGCTCCCGCATGGGGCAGGGTCCAGTGCGCTTCAGCCATCTCCCTTCCCAGGCACATACCAGCGGCGTGGATTAAAAGCAGATCAGCCAGGAAATGAACCACTGCTCTTCCGGGACATTAGCACCCCATACACCACAGAGACAGATTGAGATATTTCTCTGTTTTTGATGACAAAAATGTGACAAACTGGGCAAAGCTTGTGTAACTCATGCTTCAGAAAAATGGGCCATCTCACCAATCCGTGAAGTTATCCTGAAACTACATGCATACAAGACCGATGACCTAATAGTTTACAGTTATGCAACGCAAAGAAAAAGATAGAATCACAGAAAAAATGATTAGTTCAATTTGAAGTTAGACTATGCAGATGTAACATTATTTAAAAATCTGAGAGACAAAAATGTGGAGGCTTGATAATCTAGACTAGGCTAGGAGGTAATACATACTCTGTTGTGTTGTTGGTTGTGGCTGGAGTTGTGACCTACTGAGTTAACATGCTGTCTTAGTGCCCGCATCCCTTAGGAGCACTGATTCAATTCCAGGCAGCTCCATTTCCAATCCTGCTGGTAGCCTGGAAAAAGCAGCAGAAGATGGCCCAAACATTTGGGTCACTGTACCCGTGGGGGAGACCTAGAAGACGTTCCTGGCTTCTGGTTTCAGCCTGGCATGGCGTCAGCCATTGTGGCTATCTGACGAGCAAGCCAGTGGATGAACAATCCCTTTGTCTCTCTGTCTCCCCCATCTGTGCAGTTCTGACTTTCGAATATATAAATAAATCTTAAAAAAAAAGTGACTAGTTAATTTCTGCCAGATAATTTCAGTAATTTTAAGCTAAATTATTAGAAATAAGGTAGATGTTAATGAAATTCTTTTTACAGAGCTGCATTGAAAATTAGTTTAGGGAAATCACCATATGCAAATATGAAGTATGGACCTGGCATGGTGGTTCAGTTGGGTAGTCCTCCCCTTGCAAGCGTCAGGATCTCATTTGGGCACTGGTTCATGTCCTGGCTGCTTCACTTCACATCCAGCCCCCTGCTTGTGGCCTGGGGAAGCAGCTGAGGACAGCCCAAAGCCTTGGGACCCTGCACCCGTGTGGGAGACCTGGAAGAGCTCCTGGCTTCAGATGGTCTCAACTCTGGTCATTGTTGCAATTTGGGCAGTGAACTAGCAGATGAAAGATCTTTCTGTCTCTCCTTTTCTCTGTAAATCTGCCTTTCCAAAAAAAAAAAAAAAAATCTAAAAAAAGGATAACCAGGGCCTGGCGTGGTTGACGCAGTGGTTAAGATCCTCGACTTGCAAGCCCAGGATCCCATATGGGCGCCGGTTCTAATCCCGGCAGCCCCGCTTCCCTTCCAGCTCCCTGCCTGTGGCCCGGGAAAGCAGTCGAGGACGGCCCAAAGCTTTGGGACCCTGCACCCACGTGGGAGACCCGGAAGAGGCTCCTGGCTTCGGATTGGCATAGCATCAGCCGTTGCGCTCACTTGGGGAGTGAATCATCGGATGGAAGATCTTCCTCTCTGTCTCTCCTCTCTGTATATCTGCCTTTCCAATAAGAAAATAATAAAAATAAATCTTTAAAAAAAGAAAAGAAAAAAAGGATAACCAGCCTAGAGCATTCTATTTGTAATGTGTATTCTGTATTGGTCTAGACCCTGATGACCTCATGTAACTCTTTTTAACTCTTCAGCCACATCTGCAAGTATTGACAGAAGTGCTCCCCTGGAGATAGGGCTTCAGCGGTCCACTCAAGGTATGGCTTGTCACATTTTTATGCTGAACTTTAAAAGCCCATTCCCAAACCAAATGTTTATGTACTACTTTTTTTTTCTTAAAGTCAAACGAGCTGCAGATGAAGTTCTGGCAGAAGCCAAGAAACCACGAATTGAGGTAATGGGACTTAAAAGATGATTCACCTGGTTACTCAGCTTGGGTTTGTGTAGTACCAGAAATCTTGGTTTGTGATAATCCTGTCAACTTTTCTCTCAAAGAAATTTTGTAATGGAAAGAACACTTGGTCAATAAGTACCCCGAACTACAGTTTTAACTGTCTTATATAATTAAAAATTAGAATTAAGAATGTATTTTCCCTGACTTTTTTTGGAGCCCTCTCTGTGTAAGTTCTGTTAGGGTCACGTACTATTACTTGCTTTTCTGTCGTCACTGATGAAAATACAGTGCTAGAGTAGAGGTCAGAAAATTTTCTCTATAAATGACCAGAGAGCAAATGTTTCCGCTTTCTGGGTCGTCTGGTCTCTGTTGCAGCTGTCTGTCTGCTGGTGCTGAGGGAACCATTGACAATGCCTACGTGTACAGATGGGGCTGTCTTAGTAAAAGTGCCAAGTGGGTGGCTGGCTGGAATTGGCCTCCTCTGGGAGCAAGGTGGATTGGGGATTTGCTGGGCTTTTCAAATCTTTGAGCTCAGCGAAAATATTGACATTAGCTTCCAGATCACTTGTAGCGTTTTATAACCAGCAAGTGGAACATGAATGTCAGGGAGGAAAAATCAGGGTAGAAGCCATGTAGGAAGTGTGGCTACTCGGAGAGAGCTGGTGTTTACCAGGAGACCGCGCTTACTAGCAAGCTACTGGGATTTGAAAATGGTCACAAGGATAGGTTTCAAATATTCTCTCTGCACAGAACAGTTAGGTGCGATAATACCCATGCTGATTAGCCTGAACTGTTGTAGAATGTGTATATGTCAGAACATCAAGTGACACAGAAAGGTTTTAGTAGACAAGTATGTTTCATAAAGTAATGAAACCGTAGAGATTTAACTGTGATTTATGGTATTTATGTGAAACTTGTGATAAGCAGTTACACATAAAACTGCCCAAATGGAAGAATAATTCACTAGACCCATGTTTAATGTCAGAAATGACCACAGTGGTCATTTGTAAGTAAAAAGCATAAGAAAGAAAAAGCACAAGTACTCATCACTAACGTTAATTAGCATTGCTAGGAACTGTTAGTCTGTATTTCAGGCTCCTGACGGATAACTGTGTGCTGTCTGCTGCATGAACAGTGTGTCTGCACTGACACGGGGTGATCGTTGAAGGGACCAGGCTGGGTAGTAAGGACATGCACTGGAAACAGGGACAACATTTGGCAAATGGTGTAATTTTAATTCCGACTCATTAATCTGAAAAATGGTGGTTGTGATAATTAGATCTCTGTTAGTGCTCTGTTAAATGATGTTCCTTATGTATCTTAATTGCTATAATCTTGAGCACACGTTCCTGACGTTGGTAGGATAGTACATGTCACCTCTGGACAAACAGGCTCAGATAAACAGGGAGCTTGCTTAGGTGCACAGAATCCTCGTTAGAACCCAGGAAGTCTGCCTCTTAGCCATTCCACTCAGCTGGGCACAGATTCTATTTACAGTGAAACTGAGAGTTTCCCAAATGCTGCTTGCTTAAAGAAGGTTAATTACTAATGAGGGTGTAGACTAATGAGTCTAGAACCTGAGCAGCACAGTCATCATCTAATTTGGAAGAAGTTGTCATTTCAGAAATGCTCATTTGCCAGGATTTCAGTAACTTGTAAAGTCAACATGAAGTGGCATAGAATTATTTCCAGGTCATCTGCAGAAATAAAATTTACGGTAGCAACAGCTGTCTTCATTATAAGAAGAACTTTCACTTCTGTGTTGAAGAACAGTTAAGCACTCTGCTAGATTGGAATAGCGTTGTGTTTATTTTTTAATAATATTTTACTTGACACACAGTTACAGAGAGTGGGGATAGAATCAGGAAAGAGGTGGATTTGATTATGGATTGAAATCTGGAGATTAATATTCCATCCCTTGGTTCCCTCCTCATGTGGCCACAGCAGCTTAGGCTGGGGCTGGGGTTGAAGCCAAAGCCAGCTTTCTCTGGGTCTCTGACATGGGTGGCCAGGAGCACAAGTACTTCCATTGCTTTGGCTAGGTGTAGTTACAGGGACCTGGATCTGAAATGAAGCAACCGGGATTTGAACCCGGTTTAGGATGGTGGTGCTCAAAGGTGTAGAATTAGCTTGCTGTGCCGTTGCACTGGCCTTAGCATCTTTATTTATTGAAAGGAGATATTGAACTAAATCAGTTTTTGAATTGTGTGTTTAAGATTCACTTATTTTTATTGGAAAAGCAGATTTACAGGGAGAAGGGATACAGAGAAAAAGATCTTACGTCCACTGGTCCACTATCCAAGTGGCTGCAGCAGCTGGAGCTGGGCTGATCCAAAGCAAGGAGCCAGGATCTTCTTCCGGGTCTCCTGCACAGGTTCTGGGTCCTAAGACTTTGGGCCATCCTCAGCTGCTTTCCTAGACCACAGACAGGAATCTGAAAGGGAAGTGGAGAAGCCGGGTTATGAATTGGCACCCATACAGGATCCTGGCGCATGCAAGGCGAGAATTTAGTCACGAGGCTACTGTGCTGGGGCCTTATTGTTTTGTTCTTTAAAAATTTATTTATTTATTTTTTTACTGGAAAGGCAGATATACAGAGAGAGAGAGAGAGAGGAAGATCTTCCGCCCGATGATTGACTCCCCAAGTGAGCACAATGGCCAGTGCTGCGCCGATCCAAAATTGGGAGCCAGGAACTCTTCCGGGTCTCCCATGCGGGTGCAGGGTGCCAAAGCTTTGGGCTGTCCTCGACTGCTTTCCCAGGACACAAGCAGGGAGCTGGATGGGAAGTGGAGCTGCTAGGATTAGAACCGGTGCTCATATCGGATCCTGGCATTCAAGGCGAGGACTTTAGCCTCTAAGCCACCACACAGGGCCCTATTGTTTTGTTCTTAAGCAAACACTTCTTAGACTAAATTTTCCTGAAAACCTAATATAAATAATCCAGATGAAAGATAAGTTCCTAGGTTGACAAAAATCTAGGTGGCTCTCACTTGACCCTGGTTGGAAACTCGTAATGTAATGAAAAACATGGTTTGAAAATCATGTAAGATTCAGTCTAGAGTTTTCATGTGTGCTGATGGATTTGAGACCTGTGTCATCAAATGGGAACAAAAAATGTAGCTCTTAGATGAAATTCCAGTGTAATGAAGATGTATACAAAATTTGCAAACAAAGGGGATTTGTGTTCTTTCTAAATAAAAATAGTTCTGGAATATTATGTGAAGAACACTTACTGATCATAGGAGAAACCAAGGTGATAGCGTTGTGTAGTGGGTAAATTTGCTTCCTCCTGTGCTCGTGTCCCATGTGGGGTGTGTTCAGCTGTTCCACTTCTGATCCCGTGTGTTGGCACTGGCCTAGAAAAGCAGTGTCATATGGTCCCAGTGCTTCCACTTCTGCTTAGGACACCCACCTTTGGACACCCCGATGAAGCTGCTGGCTTTGGCGTGGTCTGTCTTGGCTGTTGTGGGCTTCTGGGGAGTTGGTCAGTAGATGGAAGATATGTCTGTCCTGACTCTTTGTCTGTCTATAACTCTTTCAAAAGAATACATTTAAAAAAAATCATAGAATGAATGACTAGGTAAGGTTTTTTGGAGGGAAGCTTACGAGATGTCCCTGGCTTAGGATGGTTCAGCTGGGATTCAGACTTTATGGTAATGGGCAGGTGACATGTATTCAGTAGGAGCTGTTTCACTTTTTATACATTCCATAATCTATTAAACATGGTAATGCAGGCTTTGGGTTGGAGGATTTTGGCTGATTGCAAACCAGCAAGGTAGGTGTTCTGAGCGTGTTGCCAGCTTTCAGAGGAAATACAACCCCATCAGGATGTTGAGTAGTGAGACTCAGTTCTGTGTAGCATGAGCCAGTGTATACTTACAATTGTTCTCTTTACATAACAGAATGGTTTTATGATTGGTATGAAAACAGTAATTGTTAGAGCTGTGTAGATGGGCATTTGTATAAGGCGATGTTAAGTGTCCTTAAATAAAATTTGAAAATACTAACCAGTCATCATTTCTAGGATGAAGAATGCGTGCGTCTTGATAAAGAGAGACTTGCTGCCCGTTTGGAGGGTCATAAAGAAGGGATTGTACAGACTGAACAGATTAGGTAAGGATTTCTTCAGTAGAAAGTAGGTTGTTCAGGTATTTGTAAACGTGTATAAGAAATGGGCTGTTAGGGCCTGGCACGATAGTGTAGTGGTTAAAGTCTTTACCTTGAACACGCTGGGATCCCGTATGGGCGCTGGTTCTAATCCCGGCAACCCCACTTCTCATCCAGCTCCCTGCTTGTGGCCTGGGAAAGCAGTCGAGGATGGTGGAAAGCCTTGGGACCCTGCACCCACGTGGGAGACCTGAAGGAAGCTCTGGGCTCCTGGCTTCAGATTGGCTCAGCTCCAAACGTTGCAGCCACTTGGGGAGTGAATTATTGGGTGGAAAATCTTTCCTCTCTGTCTCTCCTCCTCTCTCTATATCTGCCTCTCCAATAAAAATAATAAATAAATAAAAACAAAAGAAATAGGTTATTAAAGTGTTCTCTACACTTCACTTTGATCTTCCATTCATTATAGGCAGTTGTGCAAGGAAGTTCAGAAGCACACATTCATTGCTTTTTTTTTTGTAAGAATCGTTTATTTTTTTCTGGAAAGGCAGATTTACAGAAAAAAGGAGAGACCAAGAGAAAGCGCTTCCATCTGCTGGTTCACTCCCCAAGTGTCTAACACAGCTGGAGCAGAGCCCATCTGAAGCCAGGAGCTTCTCTGTGTCTCTCACATCAGTGCAGGATCCCAAAGCTTTGATGGGCTATCCTCTGCTTGCACAGGCCACAAGCAGGGAGCTGGATGGGCAGCGGAGCAGCTAGGACATGGACCTGCACCCATGGAGAATGCCAGCACTTGCTGGGTAGAGGATTAGCTGATTGAGCCTCTGCACAGTGCCTCATTGTTTGTTCTTTGAAGGCCCTTTGCCCTGTACTCCCCTGCACGTAGGAAGAGTTTATGGTTCCTCCAAGTCCTTTAGAGAAAAAAAGGAATAGTGGCATATAACTTAACCATGTCCTCCCATGTATTTTAAATATGTATGTTACTTATGTTTATAAGACCTAATGCTAAATTTAAGTGCTTTGAGTGGGTGTTACACTATACAGTTTAGGGAGTAAAGACAAGAAGGAAAGTCTGTAATTGTGCAGTGCAGGAGACAGTTCTTATCTAAAATATCTATTATTTATTTGAAAGGCAGAAAGAGATAGATTTTCCGTTTACTGGTTTGTTCCCCTGATGCGCACAAGAGCAGGAGCTCAGAAGTCAGTCCAGACCTCCCCTCTGGGGACTGAGCTCTGGGTGCTTCAGTCCGTGTACATGGACAGGGGAAGCTGACTCAACTCATGCTGCCCAGTAGGAGATGCAGGTGTCCCAGGGCCCTGCATAATTTTGTGTCAACTGCCCCTCCGCCCTGGCTCAGCCAGTTGTTTTTTTTTTTCTGAACCTGCAGTTTTCAGAACGTGTCTGGAACTTGTGGGTGTAGAGGGCTAACTGTACTCGTGGCTGTGGTTTATGATACAAGGACATTTGGAAGCCATTGCGCTTAACATGCGTTCTGGAAAGCCATCATACTGTGCCTGTTACCACATTGAGTTTTCTAGACTATCAACTTGTCAACCTGATTTATTCATATTATCAGATAATTTCTTATTGATCAGCAAGCTTTTTCTGGAAAATACCATGTTCATTCAACTTCCTGTGCCTGCTGATACCATTTCCATGGGGTCTGCAGCTATCAGTTCAGCTTATGGTGGGTCAACAAAGGTTTGGACAAGTAACTTTCATCTGTATTGAACGTATATCTTCTTTAGAACAATGTAAGAGATATTTATGTAGCATTCACATTGAATTAGGCATTGTAAGGAACCTAGAGTTACTAAAGTAAACGTGAAGATGTGGGTAGGCACATTGCGAGTACTGTGCCATTTTATTCAAGGACCTTGAGCACCTGTGGGCTGTGTTATCTGTGAGGGTCCTGGGACAGTCATACCCGTACACAGAGGGATGACAGCTCAGTATTTCTGGCTTTGCAATGCTGTGGTCTTCTGGCAGAAGGCCAGCCATGGAGGCTGTGTTAGCGCCTGGTCATGAGTGAACTTGACCTGCGGCCCTTGTTTGCTGACCACCCCCCCCCATTGTCACTATAATTAGGAAGGATCACTTCATAGTATTTCTTTGATGTGTTATGATCTTTGTTGAAGTTTTATCCAAACTTAAAATTTAATGCAGATTTTAAAAAGCTTTATTGATATATATATATAATTGATATAAAGCTAACCTTACATATTTAGTATAACTTTTTAAGTTTCTATGTGGATTTATGCCTGTACAATCATTATAATCAAGGTATTAAATAAAACATCACGTCTTCAGATTCCTGTGTACTCTCAGTCTCTGACTTGGCACCTGCTCTCGCTGCCTTCCTTGCTAAGGCAGCTGATGACCTCAGGTGACATCTGGTGTCTTTGTTTGTGTAACTGTTTAGAGACTTATGCTATTGGCTGTATCAGTAATTGATTCTTTGCATTTCCCTGAGTTTAGGTTTCCTGAATTTCCTTGAATTTCCCTGAATTTTCGGTTTCCATGTAAAACCCAGCTAGAACTTTGAGATTGAATTGAATTTATAGACTAGTCTGGGGAGAGCTAATGATTGTAACATTCTGAAGGGTAAATAAAATACAGTTCTCTGTTGGTTAGCAGAGGGATACTTCGTTTTTTAATTTCTCTCAACACTGCTTTATAATTATTATATAATATTAGACCTTTTAGTCATACTTACAAACATTTTATATTTTAATTCTATTGGTTTTTTTTTTTTAAAGATTTATTTCTTTTTATTGGAAAGGCAGATATACAGAGGAGGAGAGACAGAGAGAAAGATCTTCCGTCCGATGATTCACTCCCCAAGTGAACACAATGGCTGGTGCTGTGCCGATCCGAAGTTGGGAGCCAGGAGCTCCTCCGGGTCTCCCACGTGGGTGCAGGGTCCCAAGGCTTTGGACCTTCCTCGATTGCTTTCCCAGGCCACAAGCAGGGTCCTGGATGGAAAGCAGGGTTGCCGGGATTAGAACCAGTGCCCATGTGGGATCCTGGCACATGCAAGGCGAGGACTTTAACCATTACACTATCGTGCCGGGCCCTATTTTAATTCTATTCTAACAGGTATTTTAAAATGCCAGTTCCTGCTTATTTATTTCTTTTATAGAAATAACAGTTGGTTTCCACATATTGTATTCAATGATCACGGTAAACTCATTTCTGAACTGGGTACCTGGGTTCATTCTTCCCCTCCTTTTTATGTATGTATGTGTGTGAAAGACACAGAGTTAGAGCAGGAAGTCATAGAGCATGATGTCTCAGCCTGGTTGAGACCCCGCATGGCTGCAGTGCCGGGCTTTGGCCAGACAGGAGCCAGGAGAGCCTGCTGTTCTGGGTGGGTCTGCACGTGGCAGGCAGGGGCCCAGGTCCCTGGGCTGCCGACTTTGCTTTCCCAGATCCATGAGGATGAAATCCGACTGGAGACAGCACCTGGATGTGGGATGCTGGAGTGGCAAGCTGCAGCTCAGAGGGCTGAGGCTGCAGTAGCCGCTCTGTCGTGGGACCTTTTACTTTCTGTGTCTGTACGCACTGCTCTGTTGTCTGATTCAGTGTTGGGTAGAAACAGATTTTAGACATTCTTTTGTTCGAAGTGTTACTGGGAAAGCATCGTCTTTTATCATTATGTGATGTAGTTGTTTGGAGTAATGTATTTATGAGGTTAAGGAAGTCTCCCTTACTGTAGTCCTAGTTTGCTGAGTACTCTTTTACAATCAGAAATGAATCTTAGACATTGCTGAATTCTTTTTCTAATTCATTGGAATGATAATAAGCTTCTATTTTTTTTTATTAAGATGAATCTAAAACAGGTTTGAGAGTTGCTTTATGTAGCTAACATTCTGTTATAAAGTTTATCTTGGATAATATCTCTTGGTATTCAAGTCTAGGTTGTATTTTTAGCCTCTAGCATTGTAGTTCTCATCCTTGAAAGTTTGTTTTTCACTTTTAAAAAAGAAGACTTAACTTTATGGACATGGAGTGTGGTTACATTGAGCTGTCTCTGAGTTGACCTGGCCCTCCTTGTCGCTTCTGTTGTTCTGATTCTCTGGCCTTGGATACTAGACATTAGGTGGTTTATTGTTGGGGCACATTTTTGTGTTTTTCCAAATGTGTGTTCTGGCACACAGTTTAATCTCTTAGAAACTGCTCTTTGGTGTTGGCTTCAAGATGTGAATAATGAATGGTCAGTTGGTGTAATCAGTTCCCCCTGCTTAGCAGCACAGTTCTGAATATGCTTCCTTGCCTCGGGAATAGGAGTCATATATCAGGTACTGCTCAGTCTGTAGGTGCTGGGTGTTGTGTCAATTTCCTTAGCTACTGCTGTTACCTAGCCTTAACTAGTTTTACTGTTGTTACTCAGGTTTAACTAGTTCCTCACCCTATGTGCTGATCACTATTCTGCTGGATTACTCTGGGATTTTTTTTAATATTTATTTATTTTTCATTGTAAAGTCAGATATACAGAGAGGAAGACCTTCTGTCGGCTGTTTCATTCCCCAAGTGGCCGTAATGGCTGGAGTTGAACCAGTCTGAAGCCAGGAGCCAGATACTGCTTCTGGGTCTCCCATGTTGGTGCAGGGTCCCAAGTCCCTGGGCCATCCTCTACTGGTTTCCCAGACTGCAGGCAGGGAGCTGGATAGAAGTGGAACAGCCGGGCTATGAACCGGCACCCATATTGGATCCTGGCATGTGCAAGGTGAGGACTTTAGCCATTAGTGTGTTTTGGCCTGTGAATTCCAGCCACCGAGGCCTTGCTATGATTTCCACTCTATTTCCTCACATGAGGAGTTCTCTGAGCCTTCCCAGACTGCCTTCTGATGCCCTGTCTTGGAAGCTGTCCAGGCAGTAACGGCGGGGAGGCAGGAAGGCAGCACAGCACTGACCCTGTTGGTTTTTCATTTGACATCTAGACCCTCTTAGACCATCTTGCCTTGTGGTTTTCCTGAGTTACTCAGATTTCCTGCTTAATGCGGCGGGAAGAAAGAGTCCAGTTGCGCTGAGTTCAGTGCAGGCTGCTTACAGTTCAGAAGAGTGTTCGAGCTTGTAGGTTTTAGGGAATGTAGTACAGTGTTGTAAAATGAGTCAAATATGACCAGATGCATATTTAGCATGTGTGGTAAAGTGTCTTCCTACCTAATCTAAATATGATTAGTTCACCATATAATACTGTTGTATTTAAACCTGCAGGAATTTCTGTCCTTTATCCATATTCTGTGTAAAGTTATTTCAGGATTTTCGTCTTGTGACTAAAGTGATATTTTTGTCTACTGTTCTTTTTCTCTTATGAAAAAGGTCTGCTTAAAATTTCTCTTAAAAATCTGTTAGGTCTTTTTTTTTTTTTAAGTATGCTACCTACATTAACAAAAATGTAATACAAAATGCATTACTAGAACTAAAAAGATTTACATAATAAGGTTTCAATTATCCAAAAAGATAGAATTCTAAATTTAAAATATGTATAAAACCAAAGATTCAAAATGCTTAATGCAGAAAATAGTGCCATCATGGAACAAATTCATAATTAGTCTGCAGTGGCACACAAGCGTCTTTATCTGATAAGACAAAAAATGCTGTTAGGATATAGAGAACTTCAAAAACATAGTTAAATAAGATTATAGACTGGAAGGGAATAAGAGTTCTTCTCTACATGTCAAATGTATTTCATCTAAAAAATTCATTTTATTTCTGATGGTGTTTACATAGTTCAGAAGGATCAGCTGGTTAGAGTGGGGAGTGTTGAAGATTGGGGGAAATGGATAAGAGAACTGTTTCCAGTCTCCTCTTTTCTTCCTGTGTCTGGGGAGAGTGGGACGAGAATGAGAGAGAGCTGCTCCCAGCCGCACCAGTACCCAGAGATGGTAAATGGCTACCTGATGTCATCCCAGGGTCCTCAGTGTGGGACATGTTCTGAGAATACTGCTAAAGTGGTTTTCATCGTTCTAAGATGTTGTATGTTTCTCTGCTCCAAGGTTGAAGAAATCCCTGCAGGGGATTGGCCGACATAGTCTGCCTTTGGAGTCTTGATTCGCCCGGATACTCATTGTCCAAGCTTGTGCAGGAGAGCTCTCCAACTTGTTCTGTCCTCTTTGGTACTAGACAGCCTCTGCCGTCTTGAGCATGTGGCATGCCGTCTGCTGCACAGGCTTCAAAAACCAAAGGGACACATGCACTCCAGGCTCAGATGACCGATCCTGTGATTTTGCCCGTGTTTGGAGTTCTGAATCCCATGGACCAGTTGAGGGGAGTTCCCCTAAGGAAACCTTGCCAGAAGTGACCTTAGACCCGACTCCTGTGTGTGCCAGACAGGAGTTGCAGTTGCTGGGTCAGTTCTGTCTCCAGCTACATCTCATATCTTTTGCACAATCCCGTGGATGCTGTGGTCCACATCCCTGCCCACCACACACACCAGCAGGAACTGCAGCCCAATTGGAGCAATTCACAGTAACCCCCACCAGGCCTGCCCCCAGCCCTGGTTCCTGTGCATTCCTGTGCATTCCAGGACAACAGATTGGTCCAGTCTGTTCCATGTCCCATTTGGCTCTTGTACACATGAATATATACAGCCTAGCTCATCCTAACCAATCCTGTTTTCCAACCCACACTCATGCCGGTGGGTGTCATTGTCTGTCCAGCCAGGTTCACCCACAGCCCAGCAGAGGGGGTCTGTAGATTCTTCTTGTGTTATATGGAAGCCTCTGTTACCTACGTAATACATACCATAATGTACAGATTGAAAATGTTTAGATAAGTTTCAAGGAACAGGATGAATCTCATTTCTTTCCCATGTCCTGCCTTCTTACCAGCTGGCCTCTGTTTGTGTTTAATTTTTGTAATAGGTGAGGGTTAACTAATAAGTCTCAGAAAAGCGGAAAGAAGACACATCTGTATTAAAAAGTTCCAGCTCTTGGAGGGGACAGATGAAAATGTACTTTGTTGTACTGATTATTCTAAAAGTTAGTACTGGGTTAATACCTACATGCACCCTTCTTTACCTTCTTTATCTGTTAAAATCTTATGTGATTACAAAATATCAGCTGTCTCAGCTTTATACTTAGGAAGAAGGTCTTAATATTGCTACTCAAAATGTTTTTTACTAAAAGCTTGGAAATGTAATAAAATGTATGTGATGTGTTCAAGAAATCTTTGCTTTCAAAATTTAAAAAAGAATTTGCTTTTAGGTCTTTGTCTGAAGCCATGTCAGTGGAAAAAATTGCTGCAATCAAAGCCAAAATTATGGCTAAGAAACGGTCTACTATCAAGACTGACCTAGATGATGATATCACTGCCCTTAAGCAGAGGAGTTTTGTAGATGCTGAGGTAGATGTGACCCGGGATATTGTCAGCAGGGAGAGAGTGTGGAGGACACGGACGACCATCTTACAGAGCACAGGCAAGGTAACAGTGCTTTACTCCTTGGTGAGAGGGCTGCGCGCATGTGTTAACCCGTGGTAGGCTGTGGAACTGCTGCAACTTTTTTGTTGAAAGGAGCTTCTAGTTTTCACCCTTTGGAAGAACAGTAGCAGTACAAATTTCCTAGTGGTCGTTCTTAAGAATACAGCTGGGCCGGGGCTCAGTGAGTTTTAAGGTGCTGCTTGTGGTGCTGGCACCCCATGAGCGTTGGTTTGGATCCTGGCTCTGCTTCTCATCTAGCTCCCTGCTGATGAAATTGGGAGGTGGCCTAAGTTCCTGGGCCACTGTAGCCACGTGGGAGACCTTGGATAGAGTCTGGCTCCAGGGATTGTGGTGTTTGGGAGTAAACCAGTGGGTGTAAGCCCTCTCTCCCAATTCTGTAACTGTTCCTTTCTTTTCCTTTTTTTTTTAATTTTTAAGATTTATTTATTTTTATTGGAAAGGCAGATGTACAGAGAGGAAGAGAGACAGGGAGGAAGGTCTTCTGTCCGATAGTTCATTCCCCAAGCCACCACAATGACTGCAGCTGAGCCAGTCTGAAGCAAGCAGCCAGGAGCTCTTCCAAGTCTCCCTGTGGATGCAGGGTCCCAAGGCTTTGGGTCATCCTTGACTGTGTTCCCAGGCCACAAGCAGGGGGCTGGATGGGAAGCAGGGCTGCCAGGATTAGAACTGGTGCCCATATGGGATCCTGGTGCATATGAGGCAAGGACTTGTGCCATTAGGCTACCGTGCCAGGCCCTCAAATAAATCTTTGGAAAAATTTGCTTTGACTTGTTTTACTAAGTACTTAAAGTTGAGTTTGAGAGTCATTCTTTACAGTTCTGTGAGTAAACTTCCATTTTTAAAATTTTCTTTTCAGTAAAATAGGTTGTTACTCATTTTCAGTACCTGTTACAGGTAGCACTTTAATAATATTATGATTGATTTATTGAATCATCAGTTTTCACTGTTAGAATCTGAAACATGTAGTAGAGCAGTAAAATTAACTTTCAGTCATGAGTGTTGAGTTTCAGCTAAGGAGAATTATTTCCTTTGGACCCTAGGTGGCAGAATTGTACCATTTTTAAACTTAGTGTTCAAGTTCATAATTGGAAAAATGTTTGGTGGCTAGGTTTGCCTTTATGAGCATTCGTATTTAAAGAAACCCACAGCAAAAATTTTAGCTGGTAGTCCCTCTTTATACTAATTTGATCTAATTCATTTAAAAACTACTCTTCAGTTCCTACAGCTCAGTGGATTTGGTGGAGACCTCCGTTATTTACAGACATCGGGGGCCTTCTTTTTCTCTTGAGCTTCGAGAACAAAAGACCGAATCAGAGTTCCATGAGAAATAGAAGTACTTTTTATGCACTTATGTTATTGCTATATGTAGCCAAATGAAACAGCCTACATTTGTAATGTCATTTGTGAAGAAGTGTTTAAGCTTGACATAAGTTAGTGTCTCTCTTAGACCGTGTTGTGCTGCTTTAACAATAGCACAAACTGGACATTTGATTAATTTTCATTTAATATATGGTTGTTTTTTTTTTATTATTATTATTATTTTTTTTTTAAAGATTTATTTTTATTATTTTTTCATTGGAAAGGCGGATATACAGAGAGGAGAGACAGAGAGGAAGATCTTCCGTCCGATGATTCACTCCCCAAGTGAGCGCAACGGGCCGATACTATGCCGATCCGAAGCCAGGAGCCTCTTCCGGGTCTCCCGCGCGGGTGCAGGGTCCCAAAGCCTTGGGCCGTCCTCGACTGCTTTCCCAGGCCACAGGCAGGGAGCTGGAAGGGAAGCGGGGCTGCTGGGACCAGAACCGGCGCCCACATGGGATCCCGGGCGTGCCAGGCGAGGACTTAGCCACTTGCGCCACCGCGCCGGGCCCAATATATGGTTGTTTTTTCCCTTGATACAGATTTACCTGCATGGGGTCTCATCCCTTCTCCTCCTTCCAACCTGTATCCCTATATTTTCCCCTTAGTTACTACAGTCATTCATTTTGTTGTTAAATGTATCATTGTGTACATTAAATACAGTATAAATGTAGGAAGAGGAAGAAAATAAAATAACATAAAAGTATAATTAAAAATAGTGGTAGGGTCCCTTCATGCTGACTTAATTGGCTGATCGTCCTCTTATAAGCTCCGGGATCCCATATAAGTGCTGGTTTATGTCCTGGCTGCTCGATTTCACATCTATCTCCCTGCTTATGGCCTGGGAAAGTAGTGGGAGACGATCCAAAGCCTTGGGACCTGCCCAAGCTCTGTTGGACCCAAGTGAGCCATAGCTTCCATCTCCTGGTTTCCTTCCTGTGCGGTTGTGATGGCTGAGTGTGGGCTGGCCTGAAGCTTGGAGCTGGGATTTATCCAGTTCTCTGACATTGGTGGCAGGAGCCTGGGTGCTTGGCTCAGCTCACTGCCTTCCCAGGACCATTAGGAGGACGCCAGGTCAGCAGCTGCATAGCTCGGGCTTAGTCAGTGCTTGGATGTGATATTCTTGCTTTGAAAGCATGCCTTAACCCTGCTGTACCACCATGCCAGGTCCAGCTTTGGATTCATAAAGCCTCGTGGGATGAGTTTTTTTACAAATGATGGTATGAAGAAATACAACTTTGGGCCTCTGCTGGGTATAAGCGGGTTAAGCTGCTGCTGGTAGCCCACATTGTGCTGTTTCCAGACCTGGCTGCTTCAGTTCCTATGAAGCTCCGTGCTAATGCACCTGGGAAAACAGTGGAAGTGGGTCCGAGTGCTTGGGCCTGTAGTGGTGTACGCCCCTGGCTTAGCACTGGCCCAGCCCCAGCTGTTGGCAGCCATTTGGGGAGTGAACTGGCTGTGGAAGGTTTCTCTCTATCTTTCCCACATCCCTCCCTTCCCCATAACTCTGCCTTTATAATAAATAAGATATTTAGCTTGATGATGTTATATAAGACAACATATTAATATTTAGAAAGTGGGCTGAATTCAGTGGTTGATATTATCCAAATAACCCATGTATGTGGTTAGAAAAAAGTTGATTACAAGTGCAGGAAAGACCAGACTGGCAGATTTAAAAGTAATAACACAAAAAGTTAATGGGTGTGGTTCCACATTACAGCAACCATTAAGAGAGCCATTTTATTGCACTTTGGTGTGTATCAAAGAAAGATTTCTGTAATTATGTGAGAAGCTGTTAAATACTCCTCCTACCCGCTATCTATGTGAAGTTGTTTTTTTCTTTGCATTCTTGGATTGGACAGAATAATACAATAGTTACTAGAAGTAGGAACAACTATGGGGATGTAGCTGTCTTCTAGTAACTCAGGCATTAGGGCCCGGTGTGGTGGCCTGGCAGCTGAAGTCCTCACCTTGCATGCACCAGGATCCCGTATGGGCGCTGATTCTAATCCCAGCAGCCCCGCTTCCCATCCAGCTCCCTGCTTGTGGCCTGGGAAAGCAGTCAAGGATGGTCCAAAGCCTTGGGACTCTGCACCCTCATGGGAGACCTGGAGGAAGCTCCTGGCTTCGGGTTGGCACAGCTTTGGCTGTTGCGGTCACTTGGGGAGTGAATCATCAGACAGCAGATCTTCTTTTCTGTCTCCTATCTGTATATCTGCCTTTCCAATAAAAATAAATCTTCAAAAAAAAAAAAAAAACCTCATCTGTTAGGAAAATTTACAAAAATTAAAAAAAATTTTCTTATTTACATAGTTGAAAGGGATAGATGCCTGTGTGGGCCCCTGATTAGGGGGACAGATGTCTCAGCCCTCCCCCCCCCCCCACTCCGCAGGGAAGGAAATGGAGGGAGCCACTCCTTGCTGTCAAACTATGTCAGCACCCGGTAGTAAATGGGGGCGTGGCTTTGACATTAGATACCACGACGTGGGAAGAGTGGAGGGTGTTGCTTTAGTGGTTCTTGGTAGTTATGAGAAATCATTGAAACCCTATTGACAATGGATGATTTATTTACTGTAACCTTGGTTTTGTGTTTGAATAGACATTGAAGAGGAGTAACTTTGCTGCTAGCTGTGTGGTTTAACTAAAAGGCAAATACTGTAACTCTGTGTTCATAATCAATCTCCTTATCAGCTTCCCAGTCGTAGCTGGCTTTTTTTTTTTTTTTTTACTGAAATGTGTGTTGCCTTATTATGATATAGTAAGAGAAGAATTGATACAAAGAAAACTAAAATTCAGTCTTAAATTGTTTGCTAATTCAAATTGGTTGTATCGGTTTAATCCTAACTGAGCTTAATTGAAATTTATTTCTACTTTAGAATTTTTCGAAGAATATTTTTGCAATTCTTCAGTCTGTGAAAGCCAGAGAAGAAGGGCGGGCACCTGAACAGCGACCAGCTCCAAATGCCGCCCCAGTGGTAAGGTTCTTTGGCTGTCTGTGTAATCATCTTCAGGGAACTGTCTCTTGCATTTCATTGTTGTGGTTTTGCAGACTTTAAAAGAAAATCTTAGTTTTATATAAAGACATGACTTAGATGAGAGAATGAGACAGCGAGGCCTTTTGTTGCTGACTGGCTCCCGAAATGACCATGGTGGCCATCGCTGGCCATCGCTGGTGCCAAGAGCCAGTCTCCTATATACGTGGCGGTGGCCAAAACATTTGAGCCATCTTCCACTGCTTTCTCAGGCTCACTAGGTTGCTGGATCAGAAGTGGAGCACTCGGGACCCCACCTGGCACCCATTTGGGATGCTGTCGTTGCAGAAAGTGGCTTAATCTTTTCCACAGTGCGGAAAACATCTACAAGTTTTCACAGTCAGTAGGTTCTTCTCATTTTTAATTGGTTTTTGTTTTTGGAAAGCAGAGTTAGAGAGAAGGATCTTCAGTCTGCTGGCTCACATTTGGAGGATGTGAGGGGTCTCCCAGGACTCTTACTACAGCAGTCATTTACTGCATTTACTGCAGTCATTACTACAGCAGAGTATGCCTATGCATGCTTGAAGGGAGTTAGTTCGGTGAGACTTTCTGTAGTTTATTTCAGTAAACTTCTGCTGGCCTATTCCTTGTTGCCTAGACTTGTTAGCCTTGTTGAATGTGAAATCCTGCCACCGTAGTCATGCCACGTCTCGGTTCTCATCCTGGGCAGTTGGCTTCTTGGAAGTGCCACTTGGGACTGTCCCCGAAGAAATCGCAAGTGTGTTTAGTGTGTATTTAAACTTCTAATGTTTTTCGATTTTACTGAAAAACCCTCTAATTTTTGCATGCTTCAAGAAAAGAAAAGCTACAAACACATTTATTTCTATTTTATGTCATTTAAAAAATGAATTTGATAGAGTGTTAGTGTAGCTTTTGCAAGACGTAGTTTATTGGTGTTTCACTTCCAAAGGTAGTAGGTTTTTACTTATATTTGCTTAAAGTTTTTTGCATTTTTTTGGAGGATAGGCAGAAGGATAGCTCCCATCTGCTGATTTACATTCTAAATGCTTGGAACCATCGGGACTGGGCCAGGCTGAAGTCTGAAGCCAGAAATCTTTAAAGACTTATTTATTCATTTTTGAAATTCAGAGTTAGAGAGAAATCTTCCTTTGGTTGGCTTACTCTCCAGACATCTGTTTCGGCTAGCCATGGGCCATGTCAAAGCCAGAACCCAGGAATTTTGTCTTGTTCTCCCACCCAGGTGGTAGGGACCCATGCACAGAGGCCAGCTTTTGAGCTAGAAGCTTAACCTGGGAATGATTAAATGGGTGACAGAGTCCCAGGTACTTGAACTGTATGTACTTGGGCTTCACCAGGAAACTGTAATCCAAATCCGAGGCAACATTCAAACCAGACATTTCATAAATGGTGTGCATGCTTCCAGGCGCCTCCTAAACATTGCACCCAGTACCTGCTTCAGTTTTTGCTCAGATTAGGTAAATACTTAGAGTTGTTTTCCAAGAAACATTTTAGTGCCTAGTTGTGGCAGTATCCTGGGAATCCTGAGATGGACCAATGAGGCAGCCCTCAGCTCCTGAGCTTTCAGTGCCGTCAGCTAGACTTACCAGAAGACACAGCTCCAACTCCTCTGTGATGGTGTAGCATGGAGTGCTTCTGCTTGCGCAATGGTTTGCTTTGGATAGCAGGTCGTGGGAAACATGTCAAAGTATACAGCAGTGTTGACATTCTCATTGGAATACTTGACAATAGTAGTGGTAGAGTTTGACTGTGGGAGTAAATACCTACTGATGGTATTGACACGTATCTTAATTTTGAATGATACTTGAGGTTTAATTTTATTATAACAAACGAAAGACCTTCATATCACGGATTTCCAAAGCAAGATTAGGAATATTCTTTATCCTTCTTCTTTTTTTTAAATCACAGACTGAGTTTAGGAGAACTTACTTAGGAATTAAACTATGCTAGCTGGTGTTGGCATTGCCATCTCCTTGGCAGTTTGAATTCCAGCTCCTTTGCTTCTGATCCGGGAAAGCTGCAACAGAGGACCCACATATGTGGGTGACTCAGGTGGGGTGCCCAGTCCTGGCTGTTGCAGTTATTTGCACATAAGCAGTGTTGGTGACTGCCTTTTAAATCAAAGAAGTGAAAATGTTAAAAATTATACATCATTGGAGGAGCAGCCTTTATCAAGTGTGTAGAAAATAATTCCTGCTGCCTCACCTTTACCTTATACACTAATACATTTATTAGAGCTTTAACATCTTGATTGTTTTGTTTATTTTATTTTAGGACTGAAAATTGGGCAAAAAATCAAAAAAATGTGAAATGTCCATTCAGTACCTCTTGAGTTAGTTATTTTTTCTTTGTTAAAGAAGTCACAACTGGAGGGATGAAATTATTTGTTAAAAACATTAAGTAGTCGGAATGAAGTTACTTGTCACACGTTTCCCCCCTTCTGTTTGTAAGAGTTGTGCTTTTTGCCTTAGAGTTCAGTGTCCTTGGGGTCACTCCGTGTTCTCCCTGGTGGTGTGATCACTGCTCGCCCCAGACGGGCATCTCAGAGTGAGAGCTAAAGGAGCTGGTAGTCTATCCCCACCATTTATCTTACTGACTGTAGCAGGAAAAAGAACTTAAATCTTCCTTATTATTGTAATTATTCTATTAAAAATATTAGAAATATTAACATGTAACTCATAATTTATTTTTCTACAGGATCCCACTTTGCGTACGAAACAGCCTATCCCAGCTGCATACAACAGATATGATCAGGAGAGATTCAAAGGAAAAGAAGGCAAGTTGCGTAGTGTTTATCACTGCCCTGTGGCTGTGCTGAACTTGACTGTGTGGTGTGCCTCATGTTTTAAGGTCAAGCATTGGCAACGTGACAGCTGTACCCGACGTTTTGTCTCTGGTGACACCCAGGCACGCCCATTCGTGTGTGTCACCGTGGTGTTTCTGCCTGTGTGACAGCAGTGTTGTCTTGTTCTGGTAGACTGTGCGGGCTGCAAAGCCTGTCTGGCTCCTGACAGCAGAGAGATTGACAGCTCCTTGTTCATGTTTGTGCTAGTTACTTTTTGTGTGAATTTTAATGTTACTTTAACTGCATTCTGTCTTGGTTTTCTTCTGTATATAATTATATTAACTTTTTGAACGTAATAGTGCCTATCTTGGGCTTATTGTAGGTATTAAGTTAGTTCTTCATTCCTTAGAAGAGTGTCTGATGTCTAACTCTTAATGTTTGCCACGATTAGTAGTAGTCCTGTTTCTTAGGAGTCATTATTGGCTGCTGTTGTCATAGTGTGGTATGTATAGCCGCCGGCTGTGTCCCGGCTGCTCCAGTTCTAATCCAGCTCTCTGCTGATGGCTTGGAAAAAGGAGTGGAGTGTAGCTCAAGGTGTTGGCCTCTATCTCAGGGGAGACCCTGATGCAGCTCCTGGCTTCATCCCGCTGCTTCTCTGGTGATTGTAGCTGCTGGGAGAGCAAACCAGCAGATGGAAGGTCTCTTTTCTCTGTTTCTGACTCTCAAATACATACATCTCTTAAAAAAAAAGTACTTATTTTAGAATGGAGATTATATATCAGACCTTTATTTGCTAAATTATAAATTTGTACATCGAGAGCTTGGTAAGCACAGACTTGGAGTATCAGTGTGAGTTTATTCTTTGATAGTCTGTGTAGTATTCTTATACAGTAATGAACTGTTTGTGCATTAGTGATATGGTTAGGGAGATAAGATCGATGTCAGTTCTTGAAATCCTCATTCATTTTGACTTGATGTATGAAAATAGAAGCAACTAGAGGTATAACATTTGTTTTCTTTCTGTGTAATTAGACATCTCCACTCTTTGAAGGATATATTGTCTTGATTTAGTGTGTTTGTAAGTTTGTGTTCTTACTTCACTTACTGATAAAAGCACACACTAAGTACATTGTCTTAGAAAGATGGTGGTCTGGGGCCCGCCGGTATGGTCTAGCGGCTGAAGTTCTCGGCTTGAACGTACCGGGATCCCATAAGGGCGCCAGTTCTAATCCTAGCAGCTTCACTTCCCATCCAGCTTCCTGCTTGTGGCCTGGGAAAGCAGTCGAGGACGGCCCAAAGCTTTGGGACCCTGCACCCGTGTGGGAGACCTGGAAGAGGCTCCTGGCTTCGGATCGGCATAGTATCGGCCGTTGTGCTCACTTGGGGAGTGAATCATCGGACGGAAGATCTTCCTCTCTGTCTCTCCTCCTCTCTGTATATCTAACTTTTCAGTAAATAAATAAATCTTAAAAAAAAAAAAAAAGAAAAGAAAGATGGTGGTCTGTCCTTCACTGTATTGTTTGGGGTGAATTATGTAAAGCATTGGTTGACAGTTGTAAGCCAGAAACCAAATTAACGCTCTCTAGGCCGAACCTGACTGTTCCCTTTTGTAAACATACATTGTTGACGCTGTTTTTTTTTTTTTTAAAGATTTATTTTTATTATTTTTATTGGAAAGGCGGATATACAGAGAGGAGAGACAGAGAGGAAGATCTTCCGTCCGATGATTCACTCCCCAAGTGAGCACAATGGCCGATACTATGCCGGTCCGAAGCCAGGAGCCTCTTCCGGGTCTCCCACGCAGGTGCAGGGTCCCAAAGCTTTGGGCTGACCTCAACTGCTTTCCTGGGCCACAGGCAGGGAGCTGGAAGGGAAACTGGGCTGCCGGGATAGAACCGGTACCCATATGGGATCCCGGGTGTGCAAGGCGAGGACCTTAACCACTGTGCCACCGCGCCGGGCCTCATGCTGTTTTTATACCATAACTGCAGGATTCAGTAGTGATAATGACTGGCATTCAGTGTATGAAATACTATATGACTCATTAAAGACATACTGGAATTTTGTCCAGAGAATCACATCATTATTTACAAATTATTTTCTACTAAGTAACATACCTTGTGATTGTAATTTTGGAACTTGATTTTTTTAAAGATTTATTTTATATTTATTTGAAAGACAGTTAACAGGGAGAGTGAAAAGAGAGAAAGAGACAGAGAGAGCAGTATTGTATTTTCTGGTTCACTTTTTTTTTTTAAGGATTTATTTATTTTTATTACAAAGTCAGATATATAGAGAGGAGGAGAGGGAGAGACAGAGAGGAAGATCTTCTGTCCGATGATGATTCACTCCCCAAGTGACTGCAACGGCCAGTGCTGTGCCGATTAGAAGCCAGGAGCCAGAAACTTCTTCTGGGTCTCCCATGCGAGTGCAGGGTCACAAGGCTTTGGGCTGTCCTCGACTGCTTTCCCAGGCCACAGGCAGGGAACTAGATGGGAGGTGGAGCTGCTGGGATTAGAACTGGCGCCCATATGGGATCCTGGCGCATTCATGGCGAGAATGTTAGGTGCTAGACCACGCCGTTGGGCCCCTGGTTCACTTCTTGAATTGCCACAATGACAAAGCTGCCCCTGGGTTAAGAGCTGCTTCTTGGGTCTCTCATGTGAGTGCATGGGCTCAAGAACTGGGGCCATCTTCTGCTGTGTTCCTAGTCGCGTTAACAGGGAGCTGGAGCAGAAGTGGAGCAGCCACGTCCTGAGCTGATGCCCTTAATCGATGCTCTAATCACAGGCAGTGACTTTGTGTTATACCACAAGTTTTAATAGTTCAGGGACTTTCCTTGGTCACAGATACTTTTAGTGGTACTGTCATTGAAATTAATAGTAAGCACTTTGGTAATTGGGAGTGTTTAACTTTTGAACATAATGCTTAGATAATCTTAAGCACCTTCTACACAGGAGACTTGTTTAAAGCTTTGGTTGAATACATATTTATTTGAAAGGCAGAGTAACAGAGAGAGACAGAGAGAGAGAGAGAGAGATATGTTCCATTTGTTGGTTCACTTCCCAGTGGCTGTAACAACCAGAGCCAGCCCAGCGGAAGGTTTAGGAACTCTATCCTCATGTTCCACCTGAGTGACAGTGGCCATTTTGTGTTCCTTCCCAGTCACATTAGCAGGAAGCTAGATTGACAGTGGGGCGCTGGGACTTGAATTGGTTTTCAAATGTGGGATGCCTATTGGAAGAGCTGGCAGTTTCCCCTAGCACACCACAACTTGGGCTTTTGTTTTGAAGTCTTCAGAAATATGTGCTTTAACATCATGTATATATATTATATCAAAGCCTCTGTTATATTGTTGAACTGTTGTAGATTAGGTTTCTTATTGAATATAGGATACATAAAGTCTCACTGTTAATACTCTTTTTGTAGAAACGGAAGGTTTCAAAATTGACACTATGGGCACCTACCACGGGATGACGCTGAAGTCTGTAACGGTGAGTTATTTTCAGTGGCCGAGCTTATTTTGTTTGAGGCTTTTTATGTGGGTAGCAGATGTTGAAGAAAAGTTTCAGCTTGTGAAATTTCCGATTTTCCGTGTTTGTCTTCAGTGACCGGTTCTGCTGATGGGGCTGCGTGGTATATTACTTGATTTTCAGTCCCCCCTCCCTCCCCCAATTGAGTTGTGTGTATAATTATACACTTTTTTTTAATCATCTGATTTGTTTTTGTGTTATTGAAAAAGAAATTGACTTTCATTCAGCAGGTGTTTATTGAACACTTGAGTCAGACCCTGTTCCAGTTGCTGGAATACAGCTATGAAAAAGCTCTCTCTGGGGAGGTGATGGTAATGGTTTAGTAGAGAGAGCTCTGCCTGTGAGGCAAGGCAGGGATCTGGAATTGGGCCCAATAGAGCAACTGAGTAGAAAGGCCAATTTGCTAGGATGTGGTGAATGAGAGGAAAGAGATTAGAGCTGCCTTATTGTTCTTGATCAAAATATATTTTGTCACTGTAAGAGGTGATTTAAATTCATATGTGGTAAGAGTAATTGACATCTTCCTGGGGTATATGGCTTGCCTGCTGCAAGTGAATTACTGGAGGTACACAGTTTTACCCTTAAGGTAATTATCACACTGGAGTTTTTGTTATCATCAAAATATTTTTACTTTCTTCACTTCTGTAGCTCTAAAGTGGTGAGAAATGTATTCTGTTAGCTGTGTTTCTGTGCAAATAGTTAACTTTTTGCAATGATATTTTGTGCAGAGCTTCTTAGTTGAATGAAGATAGGGTTGTGCTTCCCTGTTAAAGACTTTATTACTAAATATATTTAGAAGTGAATTTAAGCTGTGAGTTAAAGGGTAGTCACAAAGAGATGTTGTGTAGAAATGCAACAGCAAAACTAATGATGGTGGTTTAATTGCTAGTTGGTAATTTAGTTGCTAGTCACTTTATTTTAATGCTTAGAGATGCTGTATTGCCTGTACTTGGTGCACTCAGAAGCTGGAGAAAGAATGCGTAGAGAAATTCAAACTTCATTGCTTTCAAGTTAGATAATTGTTTTAGTTGTATCTCAAACATATGCTTCCAATCAGATTTTTTTGATAAGGATTTTTTAAAAGATGAGGAAAAGACACTTTCAGAGATGGAGTGGGCGGAGAGGGAAATGATAGGAAAGAAATGTTTCTAATTTCATCTTGTGTGGGCGGGGAAAGAGTCCATTTGTCTGCACTCCCGCTTCCCAGTGGCCTAGCATCTTACGCGCCCATGGAGTATTGCATGAAACTTCTGCCATGTCCCAGGTGGAGAGGAGCGTATCCTGGGGAAGGGGTCATTTGCTTGACAAGCAGGCAGAGTATATTATACTGTATTATATAGGGCAGGGCAGATAGGGATTCCAGTTTGTGACTCTAAACTTGTTAGCCACCGGCCCCATGTTACTCCCCTCTTGGGGTTTTTGACCCTGTTGTTGATGGATGTAGATTGATTTCATCTTCTGTGGCTTCATGTTGATTGAGCATCGTAAGCCTTGTGTGTCCCGATTTGGGCATCTTTCCACATCAACTTTAATGGGGTTGTCTTACAAGCCATAGGATGCTAGCTCTTGTCAATGGCTGTTTCCCACATTGTCATTCTGAGAAGTCACTGTTCTTTTCTGTCCTTTGAAGCTGCATTTAAGGGCATCAACTAGTTAACAGGAACAGGTTGAATTATTGTTTGTGTGCACCTGGGCATGATGCTCTCCATTGCACAGGAGTCAGCATAGCAGGTGATGCAACATGCACAGTGGCTTCTGATGCCAGCACACTCACCTTGGTCCCTGAGACCAGAGATCTGTCACATATGGGAACAACTAGCCAAGAAATGCTGGGTTTCTTGGGGATGCCAAAAGCTATCAAGGGTCCCTCTCTCCTGGAAAGGTTCCTGGCCCAGCGTGATTAGGTACTATGGGTGAGACTGTGTAGAACCTGTTACACCCCTGGCCTGCTGCATGCAGCTTAGAACAGTGTCATGCAGCAGACATTGCCTCCCCAGGAATGGACAGGTATTTGGCCTGCCAAAGGCCGTCAGGAGTCCCCCGCCCACAACAGGCCCCTGCACTCAAGCCTCTGACCAAGCTCAGAGGTACACCATGGTGCAGCCTGCCTAGGACCTCTGGCATTCAGACCCTGGTCTGTCATTCCTAGACTGGCATGGTGGTACACTACTGGGGCAGCCTTCCTCGGATGCCAGCAGCCAACCTCAGACTTGACGGGGGTCGTAGGTTTGTTCAACCCCTCGCTTCCAGCTTGGACTCGGGCACCAGGCCTTGCTGTGGTACTGTGCTGCGGATATGGCCTGCCTAGGACCACAGTGTCGGGCTCCTTAACTTAATGTTGTTTTTAAAAATCCTTTTTCTGTTTATTTTATTATTGCCTGTTTGTGAACTTGTGAGCTGCACCAACTTGTGAATGTTCCAGTTTCTGCCTTGTGATAACCACTTGGCCGTGTGGAGGTGTTGAAGCTGCCTGTGCGCTTCAGAAGTTGCTGGCTAGTGTGGCCGTTCTCTCGCCCGTTCTCAGTGATGTGCCCTTCAGGGTTTGGGACAGCTGAGCGTGTCTACTTAGGATTATTAATCTTTAATATTCAATATCAGAGTTGTGTTAGATCCAAAACAAAACGAATTGGCTTGTGCAGATGTCAAGGCTATTTTTACACAAGCATGTGCTTTATTTTGTGTGTTTGGAAGGAAAGGGGTTTGTGAAAAATAGAATTGAAAGATGTTTATTTTGCTATGAGAAGTTCGTGCAATTTTCTCACAGTACACATTGTTAATGAATTTTATGATGAAAATATGCATGAATTTAAGAAATTTTCGCACCAGAATGTATCTTCTAACTCCATTTCTCATAGACATTTTGAAACACCCTAATATTTCATAAAAAAATTGTTGAAATATGGGAACAGAAGTCCAGGTGTGTTTTAAATTGTGGGATTGTGTAGTCGAGTCTTTGGTTAACTTCTGAGTAAGTAGGTCATGAAATGTGTCTCATAGTAAAGGCTTCAGAAGCACAAGCCGTGAAATGATTGAATTGCTAGAGAGCTTTTCTGAATTGAAAACATTCCTGGAAAGTGTGTTATTTGGGTTCCATCTTGTTTTAAAGTCACTAAGGAGTTTTTTTACTTCAGAATTTTGTTTTTTAATACTTTGTGAAGACAAAGTTATGTACTCTTGCCCAACCCCTTTCGTCTCCAGAGCTTTCAGCCCCCTCTCTGGGATGAACTTGGTAGGAACTGCTGTCTAATAGAATCAGGTTAAGGCCACCTGGCTGAAGGTTAGGGCTCAAAGGACAACATGATGCTCTGTGTGTGTGTGTAGGATTGGCAGATTCTATCCTAATGGGTTCCCTGTATCAAACAGCCATTGTAGACAAAGACAGTGTCTCTTGACAGTGCTTTTCCTTACACAGTAAACAAGAAGAGAGGACAAGAACCCATTTCTGTTGCTTGGAAAGTAGCCGGGAACTCCCCTGTGAGGCCAGGTCTGGGGGAGGACTTCAGCTGCCATGGCCGAGTGCTCTTGCTTGCAGGGGTTTAGGAATTGTGTTGAGCAGCAATTCATTTCAACCTGTCGGACTCATGATGAGGCGGGAAGGTTGCAAATTCCTGGTATTTCCATGATCCTTACTGAACATTATTGATGACCTTACTGGGTTCATTTTTGAAATAAGATTTTGCAGTCTAAAATTGTAGATGGTGAAAGCTTTCAAGATGTCTGAATTGGCTCTAGCTGACATCGTAATTTTTACAATATACTTTTTGGTGAACTCATTTTTGGAGTTATATTTTTAGTGTTATAGATATAATTTAACTACCAATTTTCATTTTAAGGAAAATCTAGAATCTGAATCTCCAACAAATTATAAGTCTTTTTTCTTAATAAGGCTTATATATTTTTTTAGAGATTTTATCTATTTTTATTGGAAAGGCAGATATACAGAGAGGAGGAGAGACAGAGAGGAAGATCTTCCATCCTCTGATTCACTCCCTAAGTAACCATAACAGCCAGAGCTGAGCCATTCCGAAGCCAGGAACCAGGAGCTCCTTCCAGGTCTCCCATGCGAGTGTAGGGTCCCAAGGCTTTGGGCCGTCCTCAACTGCTTTTCCAGGCCATAAGCAGGGAGCTGGATGGGAAATGGTGCCACTGGGATTAGAACCTGTGCCCATATGGGTTCCTGGCACGTGCAAGGTGAGGACTTTAACCACCACGCTATTGTGCCGGGCCCTGGTCTGTTCATTTTATTTGAAACAGGTAGTTATAAGGACAGGGAGAGGATTTTTTTTTAAAGTGATTTTGTTCATTCCTCAGCAGATTGCTACAGCTGGGTCAGGGCAAGTGGGAGCCTGGAGCCAGCGGTTTGTCTGGGTTACTCAGTAGGTGACATGGGCTCCAGTGCTTAAGCCATCGTCTGCTTTCCTGAATGTGTAAACAGAGGAGTGAAGCAGCTGGCACTTGATCTGGTGCCCATAAAGGATGCTGGTCTCATAGACATTAGGCTTAAGCTGCTATACCACGAGGCAAGCCCCCAAGTAAAGTGTGTGTGTGTGTTCTTATTGGAGAAATAGGATTACCTAGAGAAGGAGAAACGGGGGTGGGGAGGGAGGGAGGTATTGATTGATTGGTATCTGCTGGTTTACTCCCCAAGTGATCACAGTGGCCAGAGCTGGGTCAATCAAAAGCTGGGAGCCAGGAGCTTCTTCTGGTTCTCCCATGTGGGTGGGATGCCTACAACATACACAGGGACTAATCCTCTATTTGCAAGTGTCAACATCTCATATTGGCACCATTTGTGTCCCATGTGCCCCACTCCCCATCACTTCCATGCCTGTGGCCTGGGAAGGCAGTGAATCATGGCCCAATGCCTTAGGACCCTGCACACCCACATGGGAGACCTGGAGGAAGCGCCTGGGTCCTGGTTTCAGACTGGTTCAGCTCTGGCCATTGTGGCTATTTGGGGA